ACGCATGGTGTTGCATTAACGGCCAAGCACGCCAGCCACCCCCCCACCGATGCAGCAGCGCGCCCCTCCACCAGCAGCCAGCAGCCAGCAGTCTGCCTTTGCTTCAGTGGTGGCGCGCGGGGGGGTGCTCGTGTGGGCGACACGAGCCTCGAGTGCTTCATTTGGCTGCTTAGACCTCCGCAGTCCGCATAGCGCACAAGTCGTTCCCACAACAGCACCCCAGTCCCGGTTCACCGACCACGACCCACCCCTCCAACCCCACCCCACTGCCGCAGCCCCGAGGACGGCTTCTCCTATGCGAGCGTGGAGGTCAGTGGTTTTGACGCCGACGCCTTCTGCCCCGCAGACATGCTGGCCCGCATCGCCGCTATCTTCCGCCCCGGCAGCCTGAGCGTCTCCCTCTCCGTCGACGCCGCCAGCCGCTGCGGCGGCTACGCCTGGGGCACGCTGGCCGCGCCGCCGGTCGGGTACGGCTGCCAGTCCGCCACCGCCCAGGAGCTGGCCACCGGCGGCCGCGTGTCCTACTACACCTTTGGCCCCGACCCCGACGCGGCGGTCTCGGCGGCGGCGGACCGGCTGGCGGGCACCACGCTCGACGGCGCCGCGGCCGCGTCGGCCGCGCCGACGCGCTCGCCGAGCCCGGGCGTGGCAGGTGTGCTGCGCCACATGCCTTCGTTCAGCTCTGCGCCGTCGTCAGCGCTGGACAGCGGCAGCTGCGGGGACGACAGGAGCGTGGCATCCAGCGGCGACGACTCGGAGGCCGCGGCCCGCGCGGCGCGCGCGGCGGCGCTCGCGTGGGCGGAGGGCCTCGGCGGTGGGGCGGCCGAGGACAAGGGGGCGGCTGGCGCGGCGGCGGCGGCGGTGGCGGACGTGCTCGCGGCGGCGGCGCGGCAGAGGCGGAGCATGGAGGTGGCCAACCACCAGGCGCTGCTGCTCTGATGACGTCACATCCATTGACCTTGGGCCTGGTGACCTGAGGCCGCCGTTCGTCGGGGACCACGCTCTCGTGACACACCCGCATGCCACCCACATGCACCGACGCGGCCCGGGATCTGCATCTAGCCAGCTGCTTCGTCCAGCAACGCACAGGCGAGCCCCAAGACGTGCGCTGCCCGTGCGGCTTGCGCCTCGCGGCAAGCCTGCATGAGTGCGGTGGCGACGAGCCTTGCGCATGCCTTGCTGTCTCGATATTGCCACTTTGCTGGGGGTAGGGCTGGGTTACTTGCCCCCCGAACACAGAAGAAAGGGCTCAGTTCTCCGCGCGCTGCCGTATCACTGCAGCGCTGGCACACCGGCATCGGCTTGTAGCGCGGCAGTTGTGGTGTGGATGGCCCTCGTGCAGGCGCATTTCGGCCCACCAGCCTCGCGCCTTGCATCGCTAGCTTCTCGGGTCATTTTATTCCTCGCACCATCTGTTCAATTGAGCACAACCGTTGGACGTTGTATTGGCGGCAGGCCATCGGGCCGCCTGGCAGGGGGTTACACATGGTGGGCGTGATGAGGGCATCACACAGCCGCGCCGCTGCCAGGCGCGCTCACTTGAAGGTGTAATGTTGCGTACGGTGGACATAGAGCTCAGCAGGTTGACCAGCCAGGTTACACAGGCGGGCGCAGGTGACAGTGTTGACCGCTGCCGGGCGTGCTGCAATCGCGGCTGACACCGCCATGCCGGCCTGGCGGGGCTATGTCATGTGGACGCGCAGCCAAGTCTGCACCGGCAGCTGGCAGATGGGGCAGCGCGCCAGCGCGGGCGATGCGATGTGCGCTGCGCAGCACGCCCTGCACACGCACAGGTGGCCGCTGTCGCCGTGCACCGCAGTCATTTCACACGGCGCGTCCAGGCAGATGACGCAGCACTTGGTGTCCTGCGGAGCGGCTGGAGCTGCGACCGATGTCCCCGCAGCCAGCGCCTGACCGCTGCCGCTGCCGGCACCAGTGCTCTGGCGGCCGCGGCTGCTCGCGCGGTCTGTGCTGGCCCCGCGATCGCCTGTGCCTCCGCCGCCGCTGCTGCGTCCGCGCTGGCCGGCTGCCGCCGTGGCTTCCAAAGGCGGGGTGCCTGCAGGCGGCATGGTGGCTGCAGGCGCAGCAATGGCGGTCGCAAGCGCAAGCGGCCGTGCGAGCGCACCTGCCAACCCAGCGCCCGCCAGCCTGGCGCCCGATGCGTGCCGTGCAGCCGCCGCGAGCACGGGAGGCAGCAGCAGGGGCGCCCTCCCAGCATCGCTCCCAGCAGCTGCGGGTTGCTGCTGGGCCTGAGGAGGCAAGCTGGTGGCGCCAGCAGCAGGGGCAGCGACGGCCGGCAGCACGGGCGGCAGCCCGCCTGCGGCACCCGTGACGCCCGAGCTGCTGAATGCATGGGACTGCTGCTGCTGCTGCTGCTGCTGCTGCTGCTGCTGCTGCTGTGCCTGCGGCTTGAGTGCCAGCGCTGGCTGCTGCCCCTGTACAGGTGTGGCGGGCGCCGCCGTGCCTCCC